CTGCCCTTATGCTAGACAGTCTTCCCCCAGGTATGCATCGTAAGTACTCTATGCTGAGCCATCACATCATGATCTTACCTCACAGGCTTTAAACCGTCCTCGATTTTTGAGTCATTATATCAATCTCACTGTTATGACGTCTTTTCGTCACTGCCATCCGAACAAGGCTTCTTTCCAGCAGCTTCATGTAAACAGTTAAAAATGGTTTTCAGCCAATTCTGTTGCAAACTTGAGCAAGACCAACTTACGGCGGTGCAAATGCATAAGAGAAATCTCCAAGACATACTCATCGACTGGAATAAGCTTCTAAGCTCTCAAGTCTGCCTTTATTGCATCTTCCGTAAGCCCGAGCATCCCTCGCGCTGTGGACACGCGCTCTGTGATTCCTGCACTTGCAGACATGGACTAAAAGAGAAGCAAATGGAATACTCATACCGCATCCCGCAATGCATTTTGTGCCTTTCCAATAGCGAGCTGATAGTTCGTCTAAAACCACCAACCGCCGGAAGCCGCCTACTCGTTCTTGACGGAGGCGGTATCCGGGGAATACTCACGCTGCATATACTGCAAGCGCTCGATGAGTATCGACAACTCCCTTACCCTATCTACGATGAGTTTGACTTGGCACTGGGTACAAGTACAGGTAAGTGTCTCCCCTGTCTCGATATCTGCAAATGAAAATATTACTCATCACAAGATGCAGGCGGCCTTATCGTACTCATGTTTCTCTTGCGCCGGAGCTTGAACGAGTGCATCGACATCTTCAAGCAGCTGTCGAGACGTGTCTTCACTCCTCGCCCGTTACTTGGAAATTCCTTTTTCACGAATATATATCGATTTCTGTACTCACTACTTACAGACAGCTTCTACGGAGCTGCCAACATGGAAGCATGCGTGAAAGAAGCATTCGGATCAGACACTACGCTTTTTAGCGCTACTACATCGAACACAGGTATATCGGGTCTAAAAGTAGCAGTAACTACAATGACTGTATCCCGTTCAAGACTCTGTATCCTCTCTAATTATAATGGATCTGGAGTAAGAAAAGGTGAAGACATTTCCCGTCTTTAGGTAGAAGACTAATAGACTGGTACAGGTTACCAACATTATCGAGCTTCCTATATAAAAGAGGAGACTCTTATATGCGACGCGTAGGTTACGTATCCCTCTTCGTTGCTTTCAAACTTATTCCAGCCAGAGCTAGGGCTACATCAGCTGCCCCGTCCTACTTTCCAGCAAAGTTTATCCAAGGTGTTGGATTTCTACAGGATGGGGGTGCGGGAAAGCATAACAATCCTATTGGTCCTGCTGAGTGGGAATCGAAAGCCATTTGGAACAATAAACCTGATCTAGCTGTGTCAATAGGTACAGGGTTCGCGAGAGATTCAGAGGTACCGCAGACAGTTTCTAGAAGATTGGGCTTTCATGACCGTTTCTTCTCACGCCTGTTCCGCCTTTTCAACGCCATGTTGAATGCCCAAGACAGCTGGGAGGACCACCTGAACCGAGTTCCTTTCGAGGAACGGCACAGATACTTCCGTGTTAACATAGCACTTAGCACAGAGCCAGAGCTGGATGATGTTAGCAAGATGACTAATCTTGAAGACTTAACTGCGACTTTTCTTCATAGTTACGATTTTTCTAGCATCGCGCAGGCGCTTTTTGCTGCTGCTTTCTTCTTCGAACTCTACCAGAAGCCTGCTACAAATAGAACATTGCTAGTGTGCTATGGTTCTATTCGCTGCCGTAGTCCGGACACGCGTGCACTGATTGAAAGAATCCTTCAAGAATACCCGGATGCCTCCTTCACCATGGAAGATGGTACCAACTTGGGCCGTATTGGGGACTCTAGCCTTTGTACTCGATGTGGCCATTATAGGAAGGCCGTCAAGCTCAAAGTGTACCATGCCGACCAGATGAAATCTATCTACTTGCAGTTTAATCAATCATATCAAACAAGAATCAGCGGTTTTCCGCAGTCAATGTCGCATTTTGCACGGCTCCAGCAGCTGGACGCTGAGTTTGGGAGATCAGATCATCAAATCGCGGACTATATAGGTATGAGTCGCTGTCAATGCAAAACTAGCAGGAAAAGAAAAAATTCAAAATCTTTGAAAACTAGAATCTCTAAGAGGCGATGCCCTGGGTTCATTATAAGAAAACCTTAGTAATATCTAGATCGAAAAATGTTTAGATATAAAGGAGCTTCCAATTCTGTTAAAGAAAAGGCTTGCACGAAAATATCCTGCAAATTCAGAGTACATAAAAAGTCAGGGGGGTATCTGTATTTAAACCAGCTCTTAGCAACGTGAGCAATGGAACATCTTTCTATACACACACAAACGCTGAAATCTCTACTTAAACGTTCTATATTTGTGTTATCTATTGACTAATTCGACTTTGGAGCTATGAGAGTTCAACAAACGATACTATCTCCTATCCAACGTCTACTGCAAATATTATCGAGATTGTGGCAGAAGCGAGCAGACCATGAAGGCTGTTATCAATTTCTTGAAGATAGCATCGTTGAAAGAAGGCGATATGAACAAGCACGCCGCAAAAGATCGGAATTTACTTAATTCATTTTCAGTGATGTTACTACTAGATACTTTCTATCTACAACCCAATCCACAACCCGGCTAAATCAATTATAAAGTAAGATCTTCTGCAATATAGAATTACAAGTGATTATAAAAATATGCATACGCAGACGATAGCTTGTAAGGAACACAAGGTGAGATTTCTAAAGTCTAGTCTACCAAGCGAATCATATAGCCCTATTTACGGTTTGCTCTTCCTGCTTCGTTACTCTCGCCAACATCTGTGAATACTTGTCATGAACTTCCATTAACCAAGGCACTAAACTGCCGCCGACATAGCGATTATTTGCGGATAATCTCTTCTCTATATCATCTAGCCGGTTATAAACCATTTCATTCAGCTCCGAGATATCGTGACGCAGCTGTCGCACCTCATCTTGCAACTTAGTCAGCTCCTCATGTGTTTCAGGCAGTGAGTTGTCGTTGGTAGCAGTCGTGGTTTGTTCGAAGTCTTCGTGCAGATTTAAGGGTGGAAACGTATCCTCTTTCCAATTAAAATCCCAGCCCCCTTCTGGAATGGGAGGTAGTTGAGTGTTGAAAGTTGTGGATGACTCCATGGCCACCATTGCGCTTAAAGGTGGAAATAACGCCAGCTGTTCAGAGAGCGATGGGTTTTGATCGTTGGAAACCATGTTTTTTTCAGTATTGACTAAATACTTAGCGAAGAGTGCAAGTAGTTATAGCCACTAGTACAGCATTATAAAGAAGCTGCGAGCAACAAGTCTATCGTAGTATGACTTGAGTGTAGAGGACGAAATCTATTGCTTCCGAACGTATCCGACATTTGTCTTGCTAGTCAGAGTATTGCTATACCAGGCAGTCCTATCCCTACCAGAAATCAACTCTAGAACGATGATCCTTACTGCGGGCGTTCGCTGCTTCACCCGGCACACGGTTGCAACGGAGCTCCACTTGGCTATACATGTACGTGGCTTGGCGTTAGGTATGAATCAGCTCGCGATTAATATGATTGGTAAGAATTTTATGAAATACTTAGTGGCCCCTAGTCCTGGTGTCTGTAAGATTGAAGTTGCAAACGCTAGTGCAGTGTCTTCCAGCCGAACCGTTCCGAGCCGGTGGAGCGGAAGCGCGCAGTCACTTAGTAACGCATGAACTAACACGGCACATCTCTATCGTATTAGAGGAACTCAGCACGAGATCCTATTGATCCGAGGGGATACCCATCTGGCGGGTCAGAATAAGCGCATATCACTTAAGCACTAATGCGGTAGTGCATTAATCGCTAGCAACAAAGTGAAAATCAACCTGATGTGGAAGTGCATTGGATCTAGTAATCTATTCAGGGGCGTGGAGCAACTTCCTAACGCTGCACCACTTTCTAGCTTCTGCAACCATAAATGCTTCGCTACTCTACTAATCCTTCTACCACTCTATTATTATACGAACTTAGAATATATTATATCTTACTGTAATACTTCCTACCTGTAAAGAAGCGCTTTCCTACAACCACTCACAATGAGTCAATCACAAGTACATCAAGCATTAACAGTGCAATCAGAGGTATTTCTAGCATCTCATCAGAAAGCTTATCATTGACTCCAAATAGCAGGACAATATGAATTCTTACAACCAAACATGCTGTGCTAGGGTTGCGGTGTACATGACTGACTTGTATAAACATGGCCAGAACCAGCTACAGAGCATGTATCATCACCTCCAGTTAGCTCAAAGTGAAGTTGGAAATATACGACGCCAAAATTTAGCGATAGAAAAGGTATTACAACAAGAACGGAAGGCAAGCGAACTCTCCAACCAGCAATTCATAGAGCTACAAGAATGCCACGACGAGCTTTTGAAGGAGTACGCGAGTTGCGAGAAGATTCGGGAAGATCTCAAAAAATCTGCAACAGACTCTCGTGTGTTTGCCGATGAGGTTGCTAAGCGAGCCCAAAGCCTGTTGAACAACTCTTCGGGCAGGCTAGCTGAAGGCGATGTAGATGCCTTGCAGAATGGCCAAAGTATTAGTGGAATGCTTCTAGAGTCAACCAAAAACGCTCTGATTGTACAGGCAATCTCCAGTCAGCGCTCGGAGGATGAGGAATTCACCAAGTTGAGGGACGTCATGGATCAAAATGTGGATTTCCAGAACCATATCATGAAGCTTCAGGAGCAAATCAAAACTCTATTCCAACAAGTTGAAGATGGAAAGAATGAGGTTGCAAGCCTAAACAAGGCTCTCGAACTTGCTACCGAAGATGGACGACGAAAGAAATCTCGACGAGGAAAAACACCTGCTATGAAGAACCAGTAACGTCTCTCGGAATATTATCTTTGAGCTTCTATCTACAATCACAATACCACTTTGTTATCATTTTTAAGATGTCCCCAAATCAGTAATAACAGCTTTCGTTACATGTTCGACTGGGAATACTGTAATCTGTGCATTCAAGACAAAAGGAATCAAAGACGCTGTAGGTAACGGGTCTTTCAAAAAACTCTCCTACCAAAATTTAGTATTACGTTATGAACTAGAGGGATGTAATTACCTTCCTTAATTCAAGATATGATCTTTCAGTGGTGTGTTGGATGAAAGCAAGGAGGTCCTGGCTTTGCTGTAGGGCTAAAGAATCCGGAATGTGGGACACTAGGTTGTCCAGCATTGTTCCAAAAGCAGTAGCCTTATCATGTGCCGTCGATTCTTGCAAATTTGCTCGGTCTAATGCTACCTGATGTTTAGTGGTTGTTGGAACGCCTTCTTAGAAGCGTTCGATACGTACCAACTTTGACTCGACCATTGCTTGCTGAGATTGTGATATCATCTACACTAATTAAAGGCAAGCAAAGGCCTGCAGTATATACTGCGCAGATACCAGAGAGTGCCTAGACTATTGTTATTACCAGTATGATTGAACGTGCAGTCGCCTTACCTCTACGCTTATCGTTCTTACCTCAGCTAAACCCAGCGGTGGGGAATGAGACATAGCAATCTCAGATAAGGGAAAGCCAGGTCTATCAAACACTGTGAACAAAGAACCCTGAAACCTAAAAACAGACACAATATTAAGAAGATTCGGGTTTGAATCCCCTAGGCCATAGATAGATTTATCTAGGCTACGTCGGATCATCACGACCCGGTATGCGTTCTCAGTAGCAGCTGAGGCGATTTCTTGGGCCAAACAATAAGGTCTTTCTCCTTCCGGGTCCACGATATGTATACATCGATAGTGTCTTCCAGGATCTTCATCAAGCGGTGTGAAGATTTTGCGCTTTACTCGAAGGGATGGTGTAGGCTTTGAGAGCTTACGTTCTACTAGTCCATCTTCACGATTAAGCTTTCGCTTTAGGGCACTCAGCTCAGTATAGCCACCTCTTCTGTTAATAGTGTTTGCATCTTCGACGCCATTTGTTGTTCTTGGAAAGATCGTTAGTCGCTTAGAATCCATATCAGCTTATGTTTTAGTAACTAAGCGCGTGCTGCAGACTTAATATAAAAAACATGTCCGCGCAATTCTACCTGTGACAACCTAGTAAATCTAAAACCATTTCAATCCTATACAACTTGAAATTATATTATGGATCCAGTATTAAGAAAGGCCCCTCGTGGAAGGCCCCTCGAAGCCAATAACATTGACCATGTCATACGATGCTATGGCGGTAAGACGATTGCGATAGACATGGAACCTCACCAAATGCAAAAGTCGAAGCAACCTAAAGACATGGTTCAGTACATCGATTTTCTGAACCGGAGAAACGGAGAGCTTAGACTCGAGCTCACATTCTACCGAGAATGCTACCAGCACGCAGAGAAGTTCAAAGAAAAGATTACCGGGATTTCCCAAGATTTACTTCAAGCATGTATCATTGGGGTACTTGACGGTATAGATTTTGGTGAAATTAGAGATCATTCTAGCGCGGTTTCGGACGCGGTAGATCAATATAGTTACGCCCAAGAACAAGCATTTCACGCTTTCATAGCGCCGTACAAAGCATCAAGAAACCCAACAAAGACTACAGTCTCAATAGATGGGTGGATTTGAGATTCACTTCTGTCTATCTAAGCAGCTTCGATCCCCCGGCACCTAATTGGCAAGGAATTTCTTCTCTGATTATGCTTCCTTCGTTCAAAGGGTTGAAAATCCAACTCCAGATATCTCACTCGCTTATGGCTAGTATGGGCAACGCATTCTTGCGCCTGGTGCCTCATTTCCCAGTGCGCGCATACTGCTTAGGTTATTTAGTGTAGCGATAGTGAATGACATAGCTTACCACAGATCGCGAGTCTTCCAACTCTCGTATTTAGAACATCGCTAATAATCTGTCCTACATTTGGCTCGCCTTTTACCTCAGCAATTCGACTACCTGACCGCCTGTATAATACTGCATTTCCGGCCTCATTTAAGATATCGTAGTCGCCGTAGATGTAAACATCTATAATCTTAGAAGCATTAGCGTTTCTTGACATTGTATCATCGCAGTGCAACTTGCATTCTCTCCATGCGGTGCAGGTCGTACTCCTGGACTTTCTTCGGTGGCACTACCACCCAAGTATCGATCTATCTTTCCACTTCTAGATGGGATACTGGTATTTTTGTTTGTTACAGCGCCTGGAAGATCGTCCTTTCTTAGTATGGTATTCATGACCTCCCACACCAAGTCCAGCTGATACTTATCATCCACGTGCCAGACTAGAAGAAGATCTCTTGTCTTAGTCTTTGATTGTCGGTGGTCGCGTATGAGCTTCTGAACAAAGGCAAGATGGCCAACAATCCCAATCCCACTAGCGAAGAGAACTACTGTACCAAAGTCTCGAAGGTCGAATCCTTGTCCATAGGGCCCTTCTATGAAAGCACTAAGCTCTGTCGTTCTATAGAGGTTATGTGTGAGGAGTCGGTTTGTGAAACCCGACCTGGGTTGAATACGCAATTGAAAGTTGTGATCGTCGGATTCTGAGTCTGCTACCATGAAAGGGTGGCGCTGAAATATTGAAAAAAATCCAGGTCTTCTCATGGTAAGATATACGTACTGCCCCGGCTGTATTTTCCAAGGCCTAGGGATTTTGACCTTTATTTGAAGACTGTTGTGGACGTTCTCAATAGAAATACTAGTGCTGGGCTTGCTTACTGAAAAGTTACGATATATGAGGAGGAGGTTTCTATGGGCGTAGGTCGCGATCCACACACATGTTCCTATGATTACTTGGACTCGACCTGTTTTGTTTGATGTAGGAATATGAAGCCACAACAATATGCATATGGATGTAGAGCAACTGAAGTGAATCACCCGGAAGATCTCGTACGCATGATGACGGAGGGTGGGGAGAGAAGCAACACTCATCAGTCCCAGGCAGCAGAATGCCTAGATGCGTGAGACCATAGTACTAATGCCAATACATTCGTACGTACCGCCATTCCACTTATTGTGTCAATGTTACCAGTCCATCCGTGAGCAGTGAGTTCTCGTCCAGCGTGAATTGACGCTTGTATCAAAGCAATTAGCCCAACTATGCTATGAATTTTCTGGTATACCCTTAGGGAGATATGCAAGACATCAGCTGCTACATTAAAGCCCGGAAGCAGAAGTATAAGATTTGTTGCGAGCATTGAAGCAGACCGGCGGCTTAGCTCTTTGGCGGCTTTCACACCCCAACCCATACAAACGCCGTTGGCGCTCACATATAGTAGTGGAAACATCGTGTCCTTTGCCGAAATGCGCCATCTAGATATTCCAAAAAGGCTAGTGGTAGAGTACACTAGATACTTGAGGATAGCATCTGTTATGAGTGCAACCAGCCATCGAAACGCTAGGCGAGTGCTAAAATATAGGATAAAGAAAGTAATAAGCCCTGAAAATACTATAGAGTACCAGATAGAGGGGTTCAATTGTTGATTCATATCTGGATGTGTCAAACATAAGGTCTAAGCTTACTGATATAACGGACAGAAATGGTCAGTGCGGGCTTATCACATATAAATAGATGGCTCAGTATCCTGCAATACGCATTTTATTACATCATGAACTCTAGAAGATTAGAGCAGGAGTCCTTCAGGAAACGGAAAAACAATTTCATCCGACGTGGTCATGAAATAAGTGCTCGATACAAAGTAGGGGTGTGGATATGTATCCAGAAAGACAATGGTCAATTGTATATTTACAATTCAAATCCAACACGAACAGATTGGCCACCATCCTCTATACAGCTCGTAGGTTATTACGCATCTTGTTATATCAGGATAATTGATAAAGATAGGAGTCCATGTATCCAGCCCCCATTATAAAGACTAGCGAAGATTTTCTCTCGACAAAGCCAGCGCTGCAGAAATCGTCGCGAGCTAAAATGGATGCTCCTCTTCCTGGATATCTGTCTACCCCGCCTGTTCCTGATTATGACCACGGACAAATATTTTCAGGCCCGTTAGAAATGACTAGAAACTAAGGCATCTACATAGATTTACTATCTGTTCTATCACAATGTAGTTATCCTCTACGACAGTAAGATGATTTAGTGTTATTCAAGTCTAATACTAGTGACTATATATCATATTAACTTCTAGGATATTGTTCAACTTAGTAGGATGTATCGTTAAGTGTACAAGGCGTTATGAAACTACCTACACCATTAGATAATACTAACAAATGAGGAAAGCAGACTTAACATTCCTCCCTGGGTCACGCAAATCCCCCCGTGCCGCAAAGAATCTGCGATTTCAGTGTCTTAAAATTCATCGTATCGCTACTATTATACCCTAATAATGAAACAATGATTGCTAAGCCTATTTACTACAAATTTGAAAGAGCGGTTAAAAATATTACAGAGTGTTTGGTTCTATCGTCGCCCATTGAGTATTGGCCGGTCTAGGGTCGATTGGCTTCACACCCGGGTCGGTACCTAAGATCAAAGCAGCTTTCTAATGCAGCGGGTGCGAGATTAACCCCGCTCTTGAGATACGAATGACGAGTGTGTAGTTTGTTATACATTAGCTAAGAAGCTGGATAGCTTTGTAGGCTTATTCCCACAATATTTCTATTGCATTCACGAACCGCCCGCTCCGCTCGTATAGCACTGCAACTTGTAGCGCTAGTGTGACTACGTCGGAGCGAACCTTGCTAACCTGGGTCTGATCTTGCCAGATGGCCTCCAAGATCTCTATTGCGTCCTCTGGCCGACCGGTCTGCTCGTACAGCGCTGCAAGCTGTAGCGCTGGTCCAACGACGTCGCGGTGGATATAGCTACCCTTGGTCCGACACCGCCAGATTGTCTCTATTATCTCTATTGCATTATTTTGTTGATTGTTTCGAGCCAGTGTAAAAGCAAGTTTTGCACCAAGAGCAGATGCTTCTCTAGGTCTCTGAGGAAGAACGGATTTAAAGAGGAGAATTGTAGACGTTGGCTTTTCTATCGCATGATTATACATCCATTGGCTTGCGTGATTAAATTCCCAGGCCTCTTCCGCTAGAAATTGGGAAAAAAGGGTACGGCGTTCGTTCCTTTCCATGCCGCACTTGCGTCTCATGTCCTTGCTGGTGAGACGGAGATTGGCGTAGTCCTTTCGAAAGTATAGGCATCGGCAGATATATGCAATAAGCTCAGGCGGAAGTTGATTCATGACTTGTACAGAAATCCAGTACTTAGATGCTAGATTGGGAAGCTATCAAGGCAAAGGTGTAAGTGTGGGAATGGAACGATGGGCTACATAGCTACCAGCTTGCATCGCGCAGCGCGAATCTGACATTGTCCCGCGTAATCGCTTTACTTGCCTAGCAAAGGTCCAGGTAACTATAGGTTGTATTTATTTGTGAATGCTCTTTCATATATGGCCGCCTTAGTAAACACATAGCCAATTGAGATTGTTTCTTTGTACAAATGACGTGATGACCTGTGGCTATGTAACTTTATAACTGTCCTAACACCAAACAGCGGTCTAACCTAAAGAAATAGAGTGATGACGCCGGCATATTGTAAGTGAGCATATTCCAAAATAGCATAACCTAACAGCACTAGCACTGTCATAATCAATGCATTTTTGCAACCAGTGTTATCTCTAGCACTCCTGTGGCTTCCGCTGCCTGAACATCGCTCACTCTTGCGACCTTGCCTTTTGGCACTGCTGGGCCAGCCTCTCTTTCCAGCGCAGTATTCTTTCACTGTCAGTCACGCCTCAAGGTGTTTGTAGAAGCCGTAGCTTCTACTCTTTTGACCACACTTCCTTCTAGCTTTGGCCTTAGCTTCTTTAGCTGCGGCTTCTTCTGCCCGCCTTAGCCGTTTATTTTGAGAGGCTCATAGCTGAACACCTGCTCAGATCTCTTCTCCAGTACGTCGGCTCTAATTAACTATCGGGACTTAGCTTCGCTATTAACTGCCATAAATAATTAAATATAGTTATGCTAGAAAGCGCTCTTAGTTCAAGATAACTAGGTAGCTTTCGCAACTTTTAGTAAGTGCCGCTGTAAATTCTGCTTAGTTGTCTCATCAAGAGCATGAGCCTTCTTTTTGAGAATGAGATGTTGCAGTAAAATAAGACCGTTCACTGATACTAGTGTTATAGGTATTTGCAGCACTATATCTTCCTGACAAGGTGCTTCATTGATTACCACAGGAGTTACTTTAGCTAAAGGTTTCGGCACACTCCTCAGCACTCTATCTAAATTGAACGGGAACAAACCACTTGCATTAAAACCAGCTTTGATGTTCTTCGCTGTGAACGCTCGCTCTCTGGCAGGCTTGTAGAGGTAGGTAAAATGTTCTTTGTCAATGGTGTTAATACCGCCTCGCTCCAACCGTTGGACTTGCTCGCGATAGAATCGCCATGCAAGCAGTAACGCGGCACGAGCTACGCACAATTCTTTAGTAGTACTAGGACCAAAAAAGTTAAAAGATCGATATAAACAAACCACATGTGCCAAGGCACTGTTTTATCTATTTATTCATCTACAGCTAGCCTATCGCTATGGCTACGTTCTTTGATTGTCTGCGCTTTCAATACTGCATGATGATAGGGAATGGAAAGTTGGATAGTACATTCACTTCAGTGGGGCAGGCTCCTTGGGCACACGGTATTGTCATTGTTTCATTCTAAGAGGCATAAATATCCCGTTTAATCAATGTAGTTAGATATCCCGCAAATAGGTATATCATGCTCGAAAGCACTGCAGTGCAATAATATAATAGCATCATTTTATTATCCTTCTGCTAATATCTCCGCGTAGTATATAAAGAAGTGTCCAGATGTCACAAAACACTTCAACCTAAAGCTATTATTCACAAACATGGCTCCTCGTGGTAGCTCTAAGATTGAGAAAACTCACAGCAAAGGCGATAAAAGCACTGCAAAAGCATTAGAGCAGCATGAGGCTATGCTTACAAAGCTAGAAGAAGAAAAAGAAGACTTAGACAATGAGGTATACCAGGGCATGTATACTGAAGAACACCAGGCAAAACAGAATGCGGTCGAAACACAATTGCAGAAGTACACTAGTGCCGCATCCCAAGTGAATGTCAAAAAAGGACCTATACCTGAATCTACTGAACCAATGAACCTAGATGACGCTGAGCAAATGGCTAAGAAGGAAACATCGGCCACTAATCCAGCTGCTACCCAGCCAGATGTAGCAACTCACGCGCTAGACCCTAAGAAGACATATGCAGGCGATCAACAACAGTCATCAGGATATGGTGAAATGAAAAAAGAGCTTATTGATAATCTCAATATGAAATGGGACATCGATGTCAATGACTCTCGTGGAGAGTCTTCAATGCAGCATCTACCCAAAGAAGTGTTCGGCCATATCATGAAAAGTTCTCGGACTCGCTACTGTGTTCGATATGGATCCAAGGAGGGTCTAAGCGCTCGTTTTGAATCAATTCTTCCAAATGCGTCTGACTATAACCAAGAAAGAGACGTTACCCAAGGTAGCGATCGCATTGTTGAGAAGATTGTGCAACATCATAGAGATAACAAAACGGCGCTTCCGATGCATATACTTAGCCAGGTCAAGGTTCTAGTAGTGTACTGGGACTCTAAAAGGGGCGTTGGACACGAAGCTGAGGTTGAGGTATTAGCGCCTGATTTCAAAGAAAGACGACCACACACCCGCTGTTTCATTTGGCTTGACCCTCAACTCTATTCAGAATATAAACTTAACAATCAATCAGGCTGGAGTCACGAAACTAGGACAACGATCAAACTCGTCATGGACGGAATCGACGACCGGGAAAAATCCATCGCTCTGTATAACATTGCTGTTGATCTTGAAAATAAGTTTGAAGAAAGGTGGATGAGCCATATTCCAGGCAGACCTGAGCCCCTCAGTAAGCTGATATACGAGAGAAAAGCGGTGTCCCGCCGGACTAAGCAGCCGGTTACTACCACTGAACCATTAGTACGCCCAACGCCTATGAAGCCTCCAGTCCTACACCGTCAGCCTACACCTCTAGTAAAGCCACAACAGGAGCAGACCCCTATTAAAACAGAACCAGGAATGTCACCCAGGGATCAGTTTCACAAAGACTTCTTAGAACTCTTTGATTTACCAGAAGATTATACGTATGCAAACTTGACTGAACAACAGCAGACCCTTTACCCTGCGCAGTTCGCAAAGTGGAAGAGTGCAAATTCTTAGATAGGAGCTTAAAAGATAGTCATCACTTCCAGATAGTATCAAAAACACTTATATTAAGGCGTCCGTGTTGAATAGTATAAACCTTTTAGATAAATAGTTAAGCCTTCTATCAATTGAAACAGCCCCACAGTATGAACATCCGCTATACTATACTACTTAATGTGCTTGTATCGATTAGTAGAGCGTTTTGGCGGCTTCCTTGCTACTCGCGACTAGGAGTTTTTCGAATTGATCCAATCGTCTCGGAAGGGCTCCCTTCCCAACATGCACACACGCTTCATGGGGCACAGAGTAGGTCGAGCATAAGAGTGCAGTTCCAATTGCTAATCTTTAGCCAAGACTTGAGTTTCTCGTCATCCTATGATAGCCTTGTCCACTCTAATTGCACGACATGTGCGGTCCTTCAAGACATGTCTGCTTACTGGACGCCACCACTCATGTTTTCGCACACAAACGGTATTGTAGAGATTGTTCCACAGATTGGTGGAATGCTTATGTGAGTATTCAGTATATACTTCATAGCTAATACTAAGAAGGCTTCAGTTATTACTTTCTTTTTGGAGATAAAATTATGGCATTTCCACCAGGATTTAGAATGATTGCAGGTGATGCTAGTAGAAAAAACGTCTTTGTTCCACCTCCAGACATACCACAATCTCTGTGGGGTCCAGAAGAGAAAGCACCAAAATCACTGGCGGAAAAGGCCATTGGATTTAATTGCCTAAATTATAGTGGTGCTGCTGAAGGGGCTTTAAGTCGACACTTACTTCCAAATAAGTCATTCATTGATTCAAACTGCGCCGATGGCCTTCGCCTCGAGCTGATGTTTCCATCATGTTGGGATGGTATTTCTCTTGATGCTAACGACCACAAGTCTCATGTAGCCTATCCAGATCTTGTTATGGAAGGTACATGTCCTCCAGATTACGAGACTCGAATTCCAGCTCTATTTTTTGAAACGATTTGGGACACCTCTGTCTTCCGTAACGCCTCTGGGCAATTCCTACTTAGTAATGGTGACCAAGCAGGTACGAAGAGGTGTTTGTTGATAAAACCCTAACTTATTCCATCCTAGGTTCTAGCTACCATGGGGACTTTCAGAATGGTTGGAACATAGCTGCATTGCAGCAAGCAATTGGAGGTTGCACAAATTCATCGGGCCTGATTGAAGATTGTACTGTCTTTTCTCTACAGTCCCCATCTCACGCAGGTCATTGCAAGCTACTGCCTCCGGCAGCAGTTGCTAATGAAAGCTGTGTTGGACCCCAGTTAGGCCTTTGCGGTAACAATACTTTTTGAAATAACTAGACGAACACATTCCAATATGTATTTACTAAAAGGTAACATCCTAATATATTTTTGTTAGTAAAAATCTAAGTGTACTATTTTTAAATTTTTCTATCTATTATGGTTTAGCAGAACTCTCTAATTACAGGGGGGTGACAAAAAAAAAACGTAGTTAAAAAAGTAATAGTTTTTAAAAGATGATAACTCAGCTTATAGAGCACCTATACTTAAACGAGTTAGTCCATTGAAAACTAGATATCAAGTAGTTTATAATGACTATATTACGTAATGCTTAGTAAGCTTATTCCTGGCTACAAAACATGCTAAAGTTCGAGAAGTAATTTTTCTAGATTCTAACTAAATATTTCGCGCTGCTATTTTTAGATCTTATATACTAACAAGTGCTATATATAGTTAGATTAGTGAGATATATAATATATATTAAGATAGAGACATATTATCTATTAATGTTTTGTGATATAGAAATACTTTGTTTTAAAACAAGATTTTTTCTATTATCTTCTAGCTACTAACTAATACTTTGTATACCAGCCTCGTGCTTCTACTACTCTAGTATATCGGTTTTCCATAGATAAGATACAATTATCTATATCTCTTTGTGGAATATTAGCCCACTCTTGTTTAATTGCGCTAATAAAAGTATTTATACTCTCATCTGTAGAGCCAACGCCAAGAGACCTACTAGGTAGCTTAGTAAGCCGGTCCTTAAGTAAGCTCCATACGTTTTCTATTGGGTTAAGATCTGGGCTATATGGCGGATGCTTAAAAAGTCTAATATGGTTACGCTGAAACCACTCTAGAACGTTCTTAGCTATATGGATCTTAGCGTTATCTTGCTGAAAACTCCAGCCTAAATAGTTCAAA